CAGGCCTGCGCATACCAGTTTCCCACCCCTGATATTGTAGGCCAAGGTTTTAAATATTTGTTAAACTAGGTTAGAACCCTGTTTGTCAGGTTACACAGCAAGCTGTAACTAAAAATGCCATACTCTTTTTTCAGAGGAGTTGGGTATTTCTATCACTTTACCACACATGGAGGAAGGATAATTAAGAGTTGCCGTTTCTTTGTATAAATATGGCAACATGTTTGCCTTCAGCGACATGTGGGATAGTTTTGTGCAACTAATACTCAGTCGGTAATATTAAAAGCTGTAATGATATTTTAATTTGAAAATTGGCGGGCTTTTGAATTTATTTCGACAAAATATAAGAATTTTACATTTTTAATAGCATCTCATGCGTGTTAAAAAATGCTAATAAAAATGTAAAATTTTATGTTAAATAATTTTAGAGGTATAAAATAAATAATACAAAATTGTATTATAACTAAATATTATTTGTTGAATCTTTATTGGTTACAACAATAAACAAACATAATATATATTTTCTGAATAAACAACTATTTTAAATAACACAAAACGAACAAAATTTTTCTTTAATCGTGCGAAATAAAACAAGAGTTCCATCCATGAATCCTGAAACAAAAAGAAAAAAAAAACAATTGTTGAAAGCGAAAAACTTCCCAAAGCACATGATTTTGATTGTATGTGACTAATTTCTTTGCATTTGCAGCGATTTAACTAATTTTTAATTTACTACTTCTAATTTCTATAACGTCTAATTAAGATTTTCTTCCTTTATGTAATGAAAATACTTTAGATTTATAAAGATTAAAAAGTTTGGTTATATACAATTAAATTGGCATATCTAGGATAATTATCAAAATGAATATCAGAATTAAAACTTTGTTAAGGATTTCAATATTTGGGGATAACACAATTACGAATACGAATAATAATCCTTTTTTCAGTTGACAATAAAATGAAAATGTTTTTTCTAAAACAGTGTAAATGGGCCAGAACAATTTACTATTACAATCAAATATATGCATTTATAGGACATAGACATGCAAAAGTATCAAAATAAGTTTACTTACAGTAAATTATTACTAAATTTATGCCTAAAACTGTATTAAATAAAAATAAAACTCACTTTGAATTGTTTACATCGACAGCCATATTGTATTTTGTATCATTCGGGTTTCGTTTATCCAGTCGACTCGAGCATTAACGAGATTTGGGTTTTGTTATCCAAAGCCAGGTTTACATTGCACAAATAATTGAATAAATTCATATTTTTTCAATTTTACGATAGATAAATAAAAAAAATGTGAAACTATTACTTTTGGCAAGTTAATAACACATTTTTATTGAGATATTTTGTAATTATTCTGTTTTCTTTATATTTTATATATAATTGTGTTATTGTAAAACGGACGTACGCCAGTTTCGATGCGCAGTAACTTGTTGACAAAATGCGCATATGCTATAAACCCCCGTGTTACCACATCTCTAAATATGTCCTTTGTCCACTGAGGTATCCCGCCATTAGTTTTACCACCTATTTAGGGTAACATGTCGCTCCATGCTCTTTGCTCTCTACCATTTACCATAATGTAGACTTTTTGTCTTTCGGACACCTGCAGATGGATTGGTATCGTACCTCCGATGAGTTTAATTGCCTTCAATGAAGTAGTTCGATAGGCACTGGCAACTCTCAACTTCTCCATCCTATTCTGGTATGTCGCTACATTCATTTCTTGTCCCCATATGGGTGATCTATAGTGTGCCAAAATAAATATTTTGGAAGCTACGGAGCTACCGAAGCTCCCCTGACCCGTTGCAAAACTATTCATTTTCAATACTATTCACAGATGTCAAAAGCATATTTTAATTATTCTAATATATAGGGTAATGTTTTTGAGGTCACTGGATTCAATTCTCATGTCAGATTGGACAAATTGACCGTTGACAGCTGTCAATTCACGGTCAACGAGGAATATAAAAGTAAATATCCTCTTTTCACATTGAGAGTTTGGGTTTTTGAGGTCGCTGAATTCAATTCTCATGTCAGATTGGACAAATTGACCTTTTACAGCTGTCAATTCACGGTCAACGAGGAATAGCTGTCAACTGTCAATTTGTCCAATCTGACATAAGAATTGAATTCAGAGACCTCAAAAACCCAAACTCCCAATGTGAAAAGAGGATATTTACTTTTATATTCCTCGTTGACCTTGAATTGACAGCTGTCAACGGTCAATTTGTCCAATCTGACATGAAGAATAAATCCAGTGACCTCAAAAACATTACCCTATATATTAGAATAATTAAAATATGCTTTTGACATCTGTGAATAGTATTAGGCATTCCAACGACCTGTCCAAATGGCTACCAGTGGGTAATGACAGTTTAGATATGGCAACCCTGTTGTCATGTTGTCATTAACAGGGTCAATGATACATATATATTTATATAGATTGCTCAAAGCTGGTCATTTACGAGCGGCCATATTGCCTGGCAAATATTTATTAATTTGAATCGGTTTAGCAAAAATGTGTTTTAAAACCAATTTTTAGCCTTTAGATATTTAAAAAAAAAATAATTGCTTACATTTTTACTTCAAGGCATAAGCTTATGTTTATTTTGAAAAATATGGATGATCAATCTATGTAACTATCTATTTCATTGACCTTGTGAAATCACCAGGCCTACAGGGTTGCCATAATTTTGCCATATCATAACCCGTCAGAACCCACTGGTAGCCATTCAGTTTGGAATGCCTAATTAAAAATGAATAGTTTTGCAAGGGGCCAGGGGAGCTTTGGCAGCTCCGTAGATGCCAAAATATTTATTTTGGCACTTTGTGCCCATTGAGACTTTTGTTCAGGATGATAAAATCTACAACATATCAAAAATTCAGACAGTTTGACATAAACCTACAACATATCAAAAATTCAGACAATTTGACAGAAACCCAATGTCCATAAGATTATTGCGGGGTCCTTTGTTCTACTTTTACCCCTCCATATACATTTACACATCTGGTTTCTGATTTATTATTTTCTATTTCCATCAGCAATACCTTTCGTTCTTGTTCTTGTTCTTCTTTTACTCCTTTTATTTTTTCCTCAAGTTCCTGTAATTTTTTTTCCATATTTCTTCACTTCTACTTTCCCTCACTTCTTGTTTACATATTTTAATTTCACTCTTAACGCTATCAACGCTTTGTTCAATGACACTTATTTTTCTTTTTAATTTCATTTCTTGATCCTTCTTCTCTTGAGGATTTATTTTCTATATTTTCTAAATGTAATATCCTTTTGCCCTGATCCTCTGCCTCCAATACTATTTTTTCCATATCGGCAGATATTTTTTCTTGTATTTCTTATTTTGTTCATTTTCTACTTCATCAATTCTTCTTATCGTTTCTATTCTTAAATTTTCACTTCTAATTCTTCAAATTTCTTCATTAGTTCTTCTTTATCTTGTTTCCTGTTTTCTTCCATATTTATTGTATATTTCCATAGAGTTTTTCTTTATCTCCATAGACATTATTTCATTGTTTTTCTTCATTTCCATAGTGTTTTTCTTTATCTCCATAGACATTGTTTCATTGTTTTTCTTCATTTCCATAGACATTATTTCATTGTTTTTATTCATTTCCATAGACATTGTATCATAATTTTTATTTATTTCCATTATTGCCGCAAACATGCTCCTTAAAACTCCCTCATCTTTCTTCTTACCTCCATCTTCCTTTTGTTGCTGCCCTGATTCTTTGTTTTTTCTTCCATGCCTGTATCAAAGGGAAAAACATGAACATTCGTCGAGTAACTGTAAAGCGAAGAAGACTTCTGTTATCTAAATCTCCTTGTCCTACTTGTTATAAATTATCTTCCTCGTCTCCTGCATTGTCTTTCATTGTTCCAAGCTTCTTTCCTTCTCGCAAATCCATATACTTTTTACACTTTCAAACATTTTTAACCAAACTTTTACTTGTCTATATAAATCTTATGTACTTTTGTGTTCTCCCTAATTTTACCCCAATTTTAAAATTTTCTATCCTAACTGATTGAATTTATTTAAATAACATTCCAATTTCCAAATACTAAAGATTGTCTCATACACCATTCACACTGTTCTTATCCCAAATAAAAGAATCAACAATTTAAATATAAATAAAAAGTCTTACCAAATCAATTTTGTACAAATTTCGTTCCCTTGGCTTTCCAAATTCTGTCTGCCTTCTTTTCTTTTTCTATGCCCCTCAAATTTTTATATAGCCGCCCCACGTTGGGCGCCACTTGATATGGAAACACCCAGTATATGGATTTCCAAAAATATTCTAAAACTACCAAATCTCAAAACTGGGCGGGTTCAAAATCTAGAAAATTTATAAATTTTGTATAAAAAAAATAAAAATAATTAAAAATCAGTTGATCGCTACTGATACTGCCGAGATAAATCTCTGGCGAATCTCTGGCGAATCGCTGGCGATCGACTATGCATACGGCTGTTAGGCACTAGAATTAACTTTCTTAGTCAATTCTTGTTTTATTGTTGTGTAATATCAATTTGTCTTTTTGTACGATCCTCTGAAATGCTTATATTTTTATATTCAAACTTAGTTTTCAGTCGTTTGGAATTCCTCAAAACCTTCCTAGCTACATTATCATTTTCAAGAATTACCTTAATAGGACGATTTGTGGAATTAGAAAAAGAACCCAATCAAAATGGTTTAATGTTAGTATCTGCCAGTTCAGGATCAATGGTATTTAGAATGCCTATAATAACATGCTGACATTTATGTTGATCAGGCTTCGGAACATTGAAGCATAAGTGTAGTTATGCTGAGCATACCTTATAAACATTTTTAAATTCTATTTTAACCCCAATATATCAGTTGAGAATCCCTTTTCTAGAATCTTCCATTATTCCATTCTCTGCTCGTATTTATTTAATATCCCAAAAAGTTTGTTATAGTATATTATAATATTTTACTCATTTCATTTTTTCTTTCTCAGGCAATCCAGAAGTGACTCTACATGCTGCTGATACCAACATTCCAATACCAGTCATGATAAGTTTAGCAGGTGACAAAATCTGGAAAGCAGCTTATACCGTTAACGTGCCTGGAAACTACTTACTATCAGTTCTTTGGGCAGGAAGACCTGTTAAGGGTTGTCCTTTAATAGTCGAAGCTAAAGGTGGAGCAGACGCCTCCAAAGTAAGAATCATTTTTTTTTTATAAATAGAATATTTAGAGGTACAATGATTTTTAGGTCCTATGTTCAGGAGAAGGCCTAAGACAAGGGGTAGTCGGACGTGAGATTAGATCTTGGATAGACACTAGACGAGCTGGACCTGGAGAATTAACAGCTCATTGTACAGGACCGAGAAAAGTAGCTTATTGTGAATTATACGATCATGGAGATGCCACGTTTACATTAAACGTTAAACCTCAAGAATCTGGAAAACACGCTCTTACTATTAAATACGCTGGACAACATGTTCCGGGATCACCCTTTACGCTTAGGGTCGCTGGGGCACCTGATCCATCGAAGGTAAGACTTTATAATGAAATATTCTAATAAAAACGAAGAAATTACCGGATTCTTTTGCTAGAAAAATGAGTTGGTCCTTCGCTGAAGCCAATCTGGTGATAAATCTGAATTTGTTTTGTTTCAGGTTCGAGTATATGGCCCAGGGGTCGAACATGGAGTATTGGCCACGTTCCAATCAAGATTTATTTGTGATACAAGAGGAGCAGGTGCTGGTCAATTAACAGTTAGAGTAAGAGGGCCCAAAGGGGCGTTCAGAGTTGAAATGCAACGAGAAAGTCAGAAGGATAGAACGATATTATGCAAAGTAAGAATATATCTTTGAAAACATTAAGTTATTTTAACTTGTATTTATTTGAACATTTGCAGTATGACCCAACCGAACCTGGAGATTACAGAGTCGAAGTAAAATGGGCTGGAGAACTTGTACCTGGATCACCGTTCCATGTCATGATTTTTGACACGCAAGAAGAGCTTAGGCGATATGTCAGCACATTATGAAACAACAATAATTAAACATAATGTGAAAGAAGACAGAATTAATAAATATTTATTAATGTACAATATTTGTGAGACACGAAGTATTATCAACTGTATTGTATCTGATAATTTTTTTTTAACAGAGGACATTACAAAGAACCACTTACAAATTGAACATTTAGACATGCTAGACTGATTTTTAGGAAAATATTCAACCCAGTGGTATTTTAAAAATTATTTGATAAAATTATTTTGAAACCGATAATATCAATTTTTAATCAATCCTCTGTTTGAGTCTTGTGTTATAATGAAAACGAAATTTGGAACTGGATAAATATACTTAAATATTTTTAGTTTCTAGTGTTTACTAATGTTTAATAATGAATTTTTAAAATTATATATTTTTTTATAGAAACTATTTACTTAATTTTAATAAATTGTTACAAAAATATTTCTTGTATTTTATTTTGAAACGTGATCTTGTTATTTATCTATTTTTATAGTGTTTTAAGCTCTTAAGATTTTGGGGAGTGGGTCAGGTTATTAAACAACTCGTATTACTTTGAAAAAGAATGTTGAGCGTCACTATATTTAAAACTTACTAAACTTGACTGTCGATTGATGATAAAAATATAGAAAATCACTAACCATTATAGTAGGAGAGCCCACTGCAAATTTCGACCGTCATGTGATAACGAAATGAAATATGCTTCAGAGGCATGTAAAAATATTGTACTTTACAAAACGGCACCTGTGCCTATCACTATCCTGAGCAAAATAGTTAAAACAATGGCACTTCCGGTGTCATAATTAGCGATAAATGTCGTCATTTGATAACGAGATAAGACTTATGCCATCGGATAGCTATTGATTAATAGAGCTTAAAAATGTACCTGTGCCACCTCTTTTCCTGAGCCAAATGCTTGGCACGGCCTATTTATTCAGTCAAAATTCTCGACAAACTTCCGTCATGTGATAACGAGTTAAAACAATATGCATTCGAATTGACATAATGTCCCATTCAGGAATATTCGCATGTGCCACGTTTTAACCTGAGCTAAGTTGCTGGCACAGCGTAATTTCTGAGACGCGCCTCACCCAACCCAAAATCACATAAGCCATGACAACGAAAATTATTTGTATTGAAAATTACAATCCTAATAATTAATTTTGAAAATATTAGTGAATTCTCGATTTGTATTCCAATTTTATATACTTTTTTACAGACTTAAAATTAAGAAGAAGGTTCTCAAATCGTCGGAATGTAATTTTTTTATGTACTTTCTGCGATAATTCTATACCACGTTGTTTGATTTCCATGATTCTTTTTCTGTTAGAAAGAGGGTCCCTCAGTGGTGGTCATATATAAATTTGGTCAAGGTCTGATGATGGGATACACGAGAAAATTATCATACTCTTTAATTTGCAAAGGCAACTGTACGATTTAGGAGTTTGTTATTTGAAATTACTTTTATAACTTGTTAATAATTATCAATATACAGGTTTATTATTTACCAAAATAACTTAATAGGTATTTATTTAGATAAATTTGATTATTATTTTTATCCGTCTAAACCAGTAAACTATTGTAAAATAGAATTAAATAGGTACATCATTAATTTTTATACCTGAAATATTAAATTTTATCTTTTAAACTATAATCATAGTAGGCAGTTTTTTTGACAACCTGTAAAAATGAATCACAATATTAAGTAAACAAATAAATCTTGAAATTATCAAAAATTAATTGATTCAATTTGTTAATATGTAGTTCTTAATATTCATGGATAGATGTTTTTTATGCGATGTAAAAGGGAAAAAAGTGTTTCCCTTTAACGATGTACTCCAAAAATGTTTAAATATGTTACATTTTCGTCAAATAAAATAATTCAAATACAAAGATGTAAAGTTATCCCGTGAAATAGCGGAAAATGTTGGTTATCACTCAGAGTGCAAGCCAAGTTCATGGTTTTGAAAAAGAAGTACAAGGATGATATGTTCAAAATGGATGTAAGTATAAAATATGTTTAAGGATTATAAATAGCAAAATACGTCTACTAGTGATGAATGGGGTTACAATTGGCGTTTCACAACTGGAAGAAAAAATGATGTGCATCAATAATAGTAATGGGTGTTTGTAAATATATGGTCGTGTGCATGCTTCAATACTTAATGGGTCATTTTCAGAAAACCACCTCTTTAGGTAAAATCGATACCCATTTTTATTATTTCATATTATGAATGTTTTGATTATTAAAATATAATCCTAATATATTTAAATCAAGGAACCTATTATTAGCAGCGCACTTTTTGATTTTTAAATGAGTTTTTTGAAATTTTTTGTCATCGCGTACAAAAATAAATCCTGCTTTTATGAAACTCGTCAAAAATATCTACCGGGTCTAAGACAAATAGTACATATTTTAAGTTTTGATCAAGACACCGATAATCCATGGTGATTAAAAGTAATAAAATGATATAGTGACAGATTCCTTTTTTTATTTTTTTCAACTTTTATGTCCACTTTGTTACTTTTTCTCAAAAATAAAGTCTATATTTGTTTGAAATGGAACCATTAGTGTAAATATTTTACATATAATAATTTTAGGACATTATTCTTAATGCAATTAAAGATATCCAAGTGCGTTTTATTACTTCTAATTAATTAATTTTATTTTACAGACATTATTTAATAAGGTAACTCAATGGACTGTTTGTAATACAGTGGACAGGAAGGTAATAAATAGGAAAAAAAAAAATGTAAAAAACTAGTTCACAAAATACTCTAATGGTAATTCAACTTAAAAAACTTTAATATAAATAAACAATCGTAAAAAAATAGGAACAAACTAAAAAGTAAATAGTATCTAGAAGATAACAGAGATATATCTAGATAACATTAAAATAGTTGAACTAGATTTCAAAAACATCGATGGGTCTTTTAAACTCATAATAAATTTGATCGCTGTTTAATTTTATTGTAGGTTTTTCAAGAATTTCCAAGATTTGTTCGTTTGAAATGTAAGATACGTCATCTTGATCCGATATGAATTTCGTACCACTATCAGTTGTTTTTTAAAAACAACATTAATCTCCCTATCCTTTTGCTTTTTAAAAGTTAATTTTTCAGAATTATTCGTTATTTTGGCATATTCAGACGATAGAGCATGAGTTAACACATTGTACTTAAATAATTGCTTTTTAACTTTTTTATCTACACCTGGACTATTAATTCCCGGTATGCATTATGAATTGTCAGCTCTGTTTTTGATAATGGAGAAGCATTGGTAATTAACGAAATTACTTTGCCGGTCATATCTTTTTGGGATTCGATGTGTCCGCATCTTGTACTTATTAATTTTCTCTAATCAGCCTTTTATTTTCTACTTGCAGTCTCATATTGTCTATATAAAGTTTTGATCGTTTTCTGCCTCCTACAATATTAATATTTGGAGTTCTCTGCAGTCACTAGAGAGTTCGGTGGAGTAATTTGTTGTATTACTTGAAGGTGTTTTAAGTGTTCTCTCTGCTTTTGTTTTTCATTTCGCCACTTGGTTCTCTTTGTTTTTTGTTGTTTTTTTTTGTAATTGACTTATCAACACTTTCGTTGCATGATATCTGTCTCTAGCCTTTTTCTTTAGCTGCAACTGTTTGAAAAACTGTTTTCTCCAAAAAATGGTAAAAACGAGCATTTTATGCAAACAATTATTAAAGGGTTGGATTCAAGTCTTATTCCTCCATGTTGGAGAACTATGGAACAAAAGATCTTGCGTACAGTGTACATCAATTCAAGGTGGCAAAACACTGCAGATGCAAATTGTTCTAAATTAAATGTTGAAGAATGCGGTTGGGAGCTAAATGAACGTTTGGAACCAGTGTGGTTCAAGGGAGACCCAACGCCATTGAAAGTCGATGGTGTCTTAAAGTATATTGAAAATATTGTCGATAACGACGAGATGAATAAGTTAAATTATTAGAATGATGTTTTTTCATATTCAGATGATGAGTAAATGTTAAAATTGTTGGAAATGATTAGATGTAATTTTTTTTGTCACGAACGGGATTTTTTTTAATAATGTATTTTAGTATTGATAAATTGTTTGTGTATACATATTTATTTGATTTAATTTTTTCATGTATGTACTTAAAAATAAATAAATCAACAATCCTTAGTAAGTATACGTTAATACATTTTCTGGGAAACTTCCGAATATCTATGTATATCATCGTCGTATTGAATCCTATTTTCAATTTGTAGTTACACTTTTTTATAAATATAAAAAGTAATAAAATATATCTAAATAAATACCTGAAAAGATATTCTGTTAAATAATAAACCTGTATATTAATAAAAGTAATTTTAAAAACCTTTCTTTGTTATTTGAAGAATTTAATTATTTTCTCGTGTATCCTATCATCAGATATTGACCAAATTTATATATGACTAACCCGGTGTCCCCATTTCTAACAAAAAAATAATCATAGAAATCCGACAACGTGGTATAGATTTATCAGTGAACATACAAAAAAATTAAATATTCTACGGATATGAATATCTCCTCCTATTATTTTAAGTCTATTAAAAAGCCTTTAAAAGCCTTTAAAATTACGATACAAACCAAGGCTTCAGTAATAAGTTTACAATTAATTATTAGGATTGTAATTTTTAATACAAATAATTTTCGTTGTCATGGCTTATGTGATTTTTTGTATATATGAAATAAATTAGTTGGGAGAGGCGCGTCTCAGAAGTTACGCTGTGCCAGCAACTTAGCTCAGGTTAAAACGTGGCACATGCGGATATTCCTGAATGGGACATTATGCTCCTTCGAATGCATATTGTTTTAATTCGTTATCACATGACGGAAGTTTGTCGAGAATTTTGGCTGAATAAATAGGCCGTGCCAAGCATTTGGCTCAGGAAAAGAGGAGGCACAGGTACATTTTTAAGTTCTATTAATCAAAAGCTATCCGATGGCATAAGTCTTATCTCGTTATCAAATGACGACATTTCTCGCTAATTATGACACCGGAAGTGCCATTGTTTTAACTATTTTGCTCAGGATAGTGATAGGCACAGGTGCCGTTTGGTAAAGTACAATATTTTTACATGCCTCTGAAGCATATTTCATTTCGTTATCAGATGACGGTCGAAATTTGCAGTGGGCTCTTGGACTATTAAGATATTACAATTAAATAAGGTTTCAGATAAGGCAGCGACAAATTCTAATTCACAAAGACTTACTTATTCAAATTTAAATGATTTATTCAAGACTTATCTGTTATAAACCCAGCTAGCACATAACGTTGCCAAGCCTTTCGGCGATGTTGTTTTAAGGGAACGTAATAACATTATCATATAATGTAATTGCAACGTACATGAGAAGTTGTTGAGAGAAATCAAAACCTGGC